CCTGGGACATTCTCCTCTACAGGGGTTGAAGAGGATCTTACTTGGCATCCTTTTACAGATGGTTTAAAGGTTTGGGGGACGGAGGGCGCTTGTCAGTGCAGTGAGTCTCGTGGGTATGGAGTTCTGCGACTGCCAGTAGAAGTTACTGCCCTGTCTTCCATTGTTTCCGAGTTTGTCTTCAGGCTTTTGCTGTGGTCGTCCCCAATGTTGACTCCTGAGCAAATGTCCGTGTTTTTGGAGGTTAAAGGGTGAGGACACAGGTCTGGCGGGTCTTTCATGAAGTCATGTTCAGCTTGCTAGGCTGTTGCCATGTTCAAACGGGGAGCAATGTTTGCGCCATAGTTCCCTCATCCCAACCTTCAACCCTAAACCCTAGTTAGGTAGTGCTGGCAGCGCGCCTGCAGAAGCATGAGCCCTAAAACCCGGAGCTTTGGGATACTGGGGAATCATTTGAATTTGTAGGTACAAAAATTCCTAAGAGACGGCTAAAATTACAAATTTTGCTAGGGTTCCAAGCTCAGAATACTAGCTGTCCTTTACGAATAATAGGGGTACTTCAATTCGTATTAAGGACTGTTAGTAGAAGGGGGAACATCCCAACCTAAAACCAAGAGCCCTAAAACTCTGAGCCGAGGACGTCGTCGCGACATTATCGTGCACTGAAGGACAAGGCCCGTGCGTGGACGTGCTTCTGGGCTTTCGGGTTCAGGGTTTAGGGTTAGGGCTTAGGGTTTAGGGCTGAGGGTTTAGGGCTTAGGGTTTAGGGCTCAGGGTTGAGGGTTGAGGGTTTCGGGGGCAGACCATTACACACAACGTGTTTTTGTTGTGTGCAGGGTCTTAAACGCCGAAACCGACTTTGTCAATGCATGGCCAAAACCATGGGGCATGGAAATCCTTGAGCCCCTACCTCCTAAACCTCTTGCCTCACAAGACGATGCCGTTCTGAAAGGGCGGCTCTTGAGGTAGGGCTTATCATCAAAGGGTTCATAGGGTTTCTACGGTTTATCTTACTGTTGGTGAGTAGGGAATGCGGGAATGAGGTGCCCTATATACTCCCTCAAAGGGTAGACATAGGGCCCTGATTCCCTCATTCCCTGCAAACCAGCAGTAAGTTCTAGGGTTTCTCGGGCTTACAGGCTTTAGCCGAATGGGGCTTAGGGCCGCTTCGGGTTTAAGGTTCAGGGTTCAGGGTTCAGGGTTTAGGGTCTAGGGTTTAGGGTTTAGGGTTTAGGGTTTAGGGCCCTTCCCCATCTCAATTTATGTTTCTGCCAGCACGACCATGGTGGTGCCCTGTGTCATCAACAACTTCAACTACGTGAGGCTTCGGTAGGGCCTTTCTTAAACAAGTAGGGCCAGCGAACTTTGCCGCAGAACGCCGTTCGGGGTTGCTTTCCACCTTTGTTCACAAACTTCGAGTTGGGGTTCTCGTTCCTTGTAGTCCTCGCTACAAACTTGCAAATTTGCGTAGCAAAGCCGCGAAACCCAGCAACAAGACCTTCTAACACATGGCATCTTTGGTTGTCAAGATCTTAAAGCTTGGGCTGCTCGGTCAAGCAGCACGGGTGATCTGAACTCCAGCGTGAGTTTAAAAATGTCTGTCCACAGCATTTCCCCCCCCTAAGCCGAAGCAGCTACACTTGAAGCTTCGCCCACTTCGGGATGAGGTAGCCAGTTCTATGCCAGAGGGAAGTAGTGGTGATGTTTGGCGTACTCCGGCGCTATCAATCTATTTGTCTTCTATCTGTCTGTGTGTGTGTGTGTGCAATATGCACATTTGTCGTGTGTATAGAAGTTGAACAAACAAGTATGTTTGTACATATATGTTTGTTGTATATACATATCTATAAATGTAAATATAACAAGCTGTAAATATCAAAAAGGTTTCCAAATTGATATATATATATATATAGATATATATATGCAGCACCACACGACTGGAAACAGCCTAAACCCCGCTCCAGGGTTTCGGGAGCCAGGCACTTGGCATGACCGACCCGCGAGACTGGAAGCAGGAGTTTCGGAGCCCGTCGCGGAAGCTGTCTCCCGGCCAATTTAGGTTTTTTTTTTTTGTTTTCGGGGGTGTGGGGAAGTTGTAGTGCCGAATCTTAAGCCCATGCAGAAACCCTACGCCAGCTTTTGTTTCTGAGACATAAGTTTGAGCTTTACATTGATGACGGCCGTCTCTATGACGCCAAACCTCGATGCCAACACTCCCAAATGTCAGAGCTGAGACTTTGCTGGTTAGCTTTACTTGAATGTGGAAAGCATTCCATTCCTTGGGTTTCCACTTGTGTTCTCTTCGGCGTCTTGAGACGCGGGGTCTAGATCCTGAAGGTCACTCGTAGATGCTTAACAAAATGAGTTGCCTGTAGTTATCTTCATTGCATCCAGGATTTATGAAACAGCCGTCTAGAGTCCGGAGGCTCTTTCAAAAGCCAGGAGAGTACATACGTAGCTGCCTAAACCCTATACCGTAATCCTCAAAACCCAACCCTAAACCCTAAACCCTAAACCCTAAACCCTAAACACGTTCCCTTCTTCTCATCTCTACATCGCGATCTGGACGGACGCCCCACCCCCCCCCCCCCCTTCCCCCCAAACCTCCGCCGAACAAACCGTAACGCCTGAACCCCTACTCGGAAATCCTTAAACCCTAAACCCTCCTCAACTCCTAAACCCTCTAAACCCCGAAGACCCCGAAATTTCTTAGCAAACCCTAAGCTCCTACTGGGCCCCTGAAACCCTACATCCTAACAACCGGTTCAAGGATTTAGGGCATAAGGCTTTTCTAGGTTGAAGGTTCAAGAATTTAGGGTTTAGGGTTTACGTAAAGGTTTAGGGCCTGTTTAGGGTTCAATATATAAGGGGTTTTCAGTGTTCAGGCTTCTAGGGCTTGTAGTTTTTCGGGGTTTAGGGGTTGAGCCCGACCGAAATCCAACTCAGGCTGCCAGGGGATCGGGTGACGCTGGATCACCTGCAAATGTATCTTTACCGTGGCTTGGTAGCCCCGTGGTACTCTTTCCCCCTTTTTTTGGTTCAAAGTTCGCGTATAAAGTAACCAACCAACCCAAAAGAAGGGTGCCCTCATTATAAGATGGTTACTGGGCTACCCAGGTGGGTGACTTTGCAGAAGTGATGGGCGGAGCACCTTCGTCACAGGGTGCTGGCTGCCTTTGCAGAGGCCTCTGAAAGAAGACCCCTGCAAGCGCAGCGGCACGGAGATTCGGCCTTGTTCCTGCCGAACTTAGAGACCCTAAGCCCTAAGCCTAAACCCTGAACCCCAAGCCGAAGCCCTCCAAAGCAACAGTTAAGGGTTTAGGGTTTAGGATTTGGGGTTTAGGTTTTAGGGTTTAGGGCTTAGGGTTTAGCGGAATCCGACGTAAAGTTGCCCAGCAGTTTTGCCAAGCACATTTCTCCACATGGTGTTGAAGTTCAAGACTGGGGTCTCCATGTTGGTTCATTTGACAAGGAGGCCAGAATTGGGGTTTAGGGTTTTGGGGTTTAGGGTTTTGGGGTTTTAGGGTCCCCTCACTAAAGTCTAAACTGTAAACCCTAAGCTCGTGTGAGGGCAGCGCTCTTCGCCGAACAGAATTCGTAGAAGATAAGGGTTTGCCTGTTGAGGGGCTTTGCTTTTCGGGGGTTGGGGTTGGGGGTTTTAAGGTTTCGGGGTAAACCCTAAACCCTAAACCCTAAACCCTAAACCCTAAACCCTAAACCCTAAACGTATGGGCTTAGCTTAGAGAGGGCACAGCTGCTCTTCAGATTGGTACGAATGCCCTAACCCCCGAACCCTAAACCCCATACCCTCTACCCTATACCCTAAACCCTAAACCCTAGACCCCTAAACCCTATACCCTATACCCTATACCCCTAAACCCTAAACCCTAAGCCCTAACTCCTAAACCCTAAACCTTAAACCCTAAACCCTAAACCCTAAACCCTAAACCCTACCCATCCACCCGAAAAGATCCAGGGCACTTAGGCTGCCTGGATGCGGGACCTCTGCTGGAGAGAAAAGAGGCTGCTGCACCCTCCTTAGCTCGGACTCCCAGAGGTACCACCTCTTTTCTGTCTTTATCTTCAAGCATCTTAAACCTCTAAGCCTCTAAGCCTCTAAACCTCTAAACCCTAAACCTCTAAGCCTCTACACCTCTAATCTAAGCCCTAAACCACAAGTAGCCTACATGCTGAAGTGTGCTGTTGCCCAGACCAGCGCGAGCCGCTGGGATTCCCACCCAGTAGTTTCTTGTGTGTTGCATGGTTTAGGTAGGGTTTCGGGTCTAGGGCTTAGGGCTGAGGGTGTAGGGTTTGAACGTTTAGGTTTGGGGTGGTTCCAAGAAGCATACCATAAACTCCACAGAGCCCGCACCTTGAAGTCTTAGTTAATCTGGGGATCTGAAGTGCCTGAGGTCTATTTTTGAAATGAGGCGTTTGGGGTGGATTGGGCAGCTCAGGGTCTAGGGTTTAGGGTTTAGGGTTTAGGGTTTAGGGTTTAGGGGTTTAGGGTTTAGGGTTTAGGGTTTAGGGTTTAGGGTTTAGGGTTTAGGGTTTAGGGTTTACGGTTCAGCACTCCGGGTCGAGCAGCTTTATGGTTAAGCTTCATTTACGGCTCGGATATAACACCCACCCACCCAGAGAATCCCACTACATTGAGAAAGCAAAAAACGGCCAAACTCTGAAACTAAAGCGGCCAAATTCTGAAAATAAAGCGGCCAAATTCTGGAATTCAATTAGCCTTTGGCCTGATTTTGGCTCATTCTGAAAATACAGCGGCCAAATTCTGAAAATAAAGCGGCCAAATTTTTGTTGTTGTGTTGATGTTCGGTCCGATCTGCCCCGTAGATGCATTGTGTCGGCAATTACGGGTGTGGATTTTGCGGAATGCAAAAATCCCGAGAGGACAAAACTGCCCATTTTGAAAATACAATTAAGGTGTAAATATATATGGTAGAGAGGGTTTAGGGTTTAGCATTTGGGGTTCAAAGCCTCTGCCTGCGAAGGAGCAACGCGACGTACGGCAAGACCTGGCGTGAGGCAGAGTCGCACTACGCCGTCAAGCCAGGTGGGAGTTTACGAAGATAGGGGACCCCTAAAATAGGGCTTAGGGTTTGGGGTTTAGGGTTTAGGGTTTAGGGCTTAGGGTTTAGGGTTAGGATCCCTTGATAATCAGGACACCAATAAGGTACCCCGAATATCGTAAACCCCCAGGTGCCGTGTGAAGTTTCGTTTTTTTGTTTAGGGGGTTGTTCCGGGGTCCAGGAAGGCTGGGAGGTTCAGGTTCAGGTTTCAGGGTTGAACATATAGGGTTAGGGTTCAGGGGCTTAGCAAGTAACCCTTCGCGTTTTCGGCTGCTGACTGGGACGCTCCTTCGCTACCTTTTCGCTAAGGCCTCAAACCCGATGTACCCGAAACCCCAACCCTTCAAGGTTTTAAAAATGTTTTCGGCTCCTATTTAGGTACCCCAAGAAGTGCAGGTTTTCAAGAAACGAAGCAAGGAAGCTCACAGTAGCTGAAGTCATTAGCAGCTCGCCCTCTACCTCCGCAAGCAGCAACAGGGAACCAAGCAAAAACAGCTAAACCCGAAACCCTAAACCCTAAAACCTAAACTCCAAACTCAAAACTTCATAAACCCCAAGCGCGACCCTTTAAGCGAGAACACAAAGGGTTGAAGTTTCTGCGGCTGAACGAGCGTGCAACCCTATGAGACCCGTTATCTCGTAACCCTGAAGCCCTAAACAGCTGCCCTACTTGAGAACCCTTTCGAAGCCTAAGGCCTAAAGCCTAAACTAACACTGAGCCCTAAACCCTAAACACTAAACCATAAACCCTTCCTGCGCACGGCCCAGCCTACTACCAGGAGCCTGCGAAACTACAAGTTCTCTGCCCTTCGCCTAACCATACCCTTCGCCTAACCATACCAACAACTTAGCTCGCCACAAATGCATAGCTTTGGGTAGATTTGGCAGTTTTGGGTTTTGGGTTTAAGGTTAAGGGATACTCGCACTGAACAGGCACCTGAACCCCTAAACCACCTCAGAAACCCCAAACCCCTGAACCCCTCAACCGTAAACCCATGAAGGTTAAACCCTCAGCCTTCCCTAGACCCTAAACCCTAAACCCTAAACCCTAAACCCTAAACCTTAAACCCTAAACCTAAACCCTAAACCCTACATCTACGGGCTGCCTGAGCACCCTGGCCAGCTGGAAAGTCCGAGTCCGGCTATGTGGACCCACAAGAGTGGCATCCTCAGCACGTGTTAGGGTTTAGGGTTTAGGGTTTGGGGTTTAGGGTTTGGGGTTTGGGGTTCAGGGTTTAGGGGTTTAGGGTTTGTGGTTCAGGGTTTTGGGTTTAGGGTTTAGGGTTTAAGGGGTGAACATCTCAGGCTATCAACATCTGGGCTTGAAGAACCATCCCAGGCTCCCACGCCTAAAGGCACGCAGTGGAGCTCCATGTTTTGACAGTTCAGGGTTTAGGGTTTAGGGTTTAGGGTTTAGGGTTTAGGGTTTAGGGCTTAGGGTACAGGACACGGTTTAGGATTTAGGGGTACGTAGTCTAAGTATGGACTCCTAGTATGAACCTGTGGCCTTTCGGGGAAACAGTCCTGACATCAGACATTCCATTCCCTGATTTCACTAGGATACCTTCTAGGTCTTTCGGGTGTTTTCATGGTTTCAGTTCGGTTTGGGGTTTAGGGTTTACAAGGGTTAGGGTGTAGAGCTAGCCAGGGTTTAGGTAGCCTCCCTTGCGGCCAGAGGGAAACCCTAAACCCTAAACCCTAAACCCTAAACCCCAAACCCTAAACCCTAAACCCTAACCAGTGTAAGCCCTTGAGGCTGATTGCAACGTTGACGCGCCCCGACTACTGAAGGGCTCCGTGACCAGCGAATCAAGCAGACCTTGCCTTCGAAACCCGCGGGATAGAGGGTTTAGGGTTTAGGACTAGGTTTAGAGTTTGAGTTTAGGGTTTAGAGTTTAGGGTTTAGGGTTCAGGGTTAGGGTTTAGGGTTTAGGGCTACACCCTAGGGTTTCGGGTTTAGGGTTAAGGCTTCAGGCTTTAGGGTGAAAGTTGTCTTTTGTCTTAGGGAGCTGAAGGTATGTTGCACTAAAAGCGCGAAAATAAAGTCCTTAACAAGAACCCCCGTTTATGTCTAAGGAAAGCTTGCGGCGCAGGCTTCAGTGACTCGTACATGCAAAAAAAGCTGATCCCTAAGCCCTTTACAAACCCTATCATCACGAACCCTGAATCCTAAATCCTAAACCCTGAACCCTATAACCCCTGCATGCAGCCATGCAGCTTAGCGTTAATTATTTGGTTTGCAGTGCTTCAATTCAGGGAGGGTGATGCTTTGTGCGGCCGAAACCTTTTTTTGTTTTGGCCTCGGCAGAGTACCCTGCGCGGCTTCGGGTGCGTATCCTATTGTGGGTCTATCCTACAGCAAAATGGGAGGCCCGGGGTAGGGTGTAGGGTTCAGGGTTTTATGATTTAGGGTTTAGGGTTTAGGGTTCAGAGAGTAGTTCAGCACTCCGATCATGAGCTACCCAGGCTCCCCAGTAGTGCCTCCTTGGTTTTTGGACGCCTTACTTTCTCGCTCCGCACTAAGTACCAGCCAGAAAAAAAGGGAACGCACGTAGCCGTGAAAGTCTCGTTTCTGCGATATCTGCCGCCCGCGACATCCGTAGGGGGCGCAGCCTTTGAGCCGAAAATTCCGGCTCGGCGCAACCTGCTGTGCTTTAGGGTTTTAGGTTTAGGGCTTAGGGCTTAGGGCTTAGGGCTTAGGGTTTAGGGTTTAGGGTTTAGGGTTTAGGGTTTTGGGCTCGAAGTTTAGGGGGTGTAAGCTTAACCCCTCACCCCTAAACCCCCCAATGGCCGAAATACCCCTAAACCCTAAACCGTAAACCCTAAACCCTAAACCCCGAACCAAGAGGTATCCTGAGTCTGAAGCCTTACCCCGAGCGCTCTCCCAAAGGATCCAAGTGCCTATACGGGCATTTTTGGGGTCCAAAAGTTCCTAGTATTTTGGGTTTAGGGTTGAGGGTTTAGGTCATAGTATTTTGGGGTCCGAGTGTCTCCAGGGTTTTTGGCTTAGGGGTAAGGGTTGAGTGGCGGGGGGGGGGGGGCTGAGGAGCCCTGTATTGTGAAAATAGAGCTCTTATAGGGTTGCGAGTGCATAAAGGGCTCCGCTATGGGTGTCCTTGTGGGGATACTAGCAATGCCAACCTTACGTACACATTGTCGCCAAGGCCTTTACTCGTAGCCCTGTCCACAGATCTGCTGGTAGCCAGGCTGCGTCAGCTTTGTCAGTGCATGTGTCACTATATATCACTCTACGAATTGCTCAAGAACCCAGCAAAAACAAGAATAGTCTTCATTATTGAGGTGAATCTAGGGATTTCTATTGTCTATTCTTTTGGGGTTCTTAAGCAAACAGTAGCACTGTGTCACCCAGATGGCGAACGCCATCCAGCGTGCTGTAGATGCCTTTGGGCAATGCATTGGTGCATAGGTTAGGTTTAGTGTTTAGGGTTTAGGGTTTAGCGTCTGGGGTTTACGGTTTAGGGTTTAGGTTATAGGGTTGAGTGCTGAGGGCACGAAACCCTAAACCCAGTTAAGCCTGAGCCCCTAAACCTCCAGCATGTCTGCTTGATTTGACCCGTCCAACCCCCAGAAGAAACAGGAGCAAACAGGCTGAAAACTGGTTCTGCGCAACGTGGGAGTTTACGAAGGGGACCCTAATATAGACCCCCAAATAGTAGGATTCCCTGATAATAATAAGGACCCCAAGAACCCCTAAACCCTGAACCCTGAACCCTAAACCCTAAACCCCAAACCCTACTTCGGAAACCCCCCCCCCCCCATGTGAGTTCTTTGCGTACCCAAATGCCACCGAAAGATGGACCCGACCATGATGTGCCAGTTATGGCGACCTTGATTGAGGAGAGGATAGTTAGGGTTTAGGGTTTAGGGTTTAGGGTTTGATTAGGGTTTAGGGTTTAGGGTTTAGGGTCTAGGGTTTAGGGTTTAGGGTTTAGGGCCCCCCTTTTCATGCCGCTGCTGCCGCCTTAAGCTCTAAACCCTAAACCCTGAACCCTAAGCCCTAAACCCTAAACCCTAAACCCTAAAGCCCTAAAGCCCTAGACCTGCGGCTTGCTTGTGATCCGCGGGACTGCAGGGGTACATGGCATTGGGTCGGGGACATTCCATGGCAGTGCTGGGTCTAGGGTTTTGGGGTTTAGGGTTTAGAGTTTTGGGTTTAGGGTTTAGGGTTTAGGGTTTTGGGGTCATCAATTCAAAACCTAGACCCCTAAAGCCCCAATTGAGAAGTCCCACACACCCTATATCCGATATCTTGAAACTCGAAAACCCAAGCCCCCAAAGCCCCTATGTAAAAGTTCCTACACCTTATAAGTCTTTAAAGGCTCTGCCCGACTCAGCCCTAAATGGGGCTTTAGGAAAATAAGGGAACCCTAAAATAGACCCTCCAAATAGCATAAAGGATTCCCTTGCAATAAGGACCCCAAGAAGGTACCCTCATTTTCGGAAACCCCTAAATCCTGGCAGCTCTGACCATCTCCTTCCACCCTTGTGGGGGTTCCGATAATAAGGATTATGCTATTTTGGGTTATATGAAGGGTACCCCCTATTTTCGGAAACCCCTAAATCCTTTCAGCTCTGACCATCTCCTTCTCGTCCTGTTGCAGCCCAAGTATAGCCATATTAGGGCTCTCAAGGGCTTATAAGTGGGCTTATCCTGAACCTCCAAGTAGATTTAGGGGCACGACTCTGACTGTGCAGTTATAATTGGGTTAATAAGTACCCTGAACCTCCAAACCCTAAACCCTAAACCCGAAACCCTAAGCCCATTGCAGCATTTGCTCAAGGGTGCCCGGGGCACGCTTGGGGCCCTCAGCCGCCTCCCCTGCGTGGCGGCTGGTCACGCGGCCTGAGTCATGGCTTTCATAGGGTCTGGGGTTTAGGGTTTAGGGTTCAGGGCTTGAAAACCCTAAGCCCAAAACCCAAACCCTTTGAACGCAACAGGACCGAACCCTTGTATTTAGGGTGTATGGTTCAAAGCTGGGAGTGTCCCCCTTATACTAACAGTCCTTCGTTTATAGAGCCCCAGTATTACCATCCCGATGAAGGACTGTTAGTATATAAGCCCTAAGCCCTAAACCCTAAACCCTAAACCCTAAACCCTAAACCCTAAGGGGGGGAACTAAACCCAAGCTAAGAGGGTAAACGGTTTTGGGGGGCTTAGGGTCTAAGCAGGCTGCGGGACTGAGGGATGATATGGTTCCGAAGTTCCCTTCGGGTTTAGGGTTTAGGGTTTAGGGTTTAGGGTTTAGGGTTTAGGGTTTAGGGTTTAGGGTTTAGGGTTTAGGGCTTTTGGTTTAGGATGTAGGGTTTAGGGGTTCGGGTGTAACGAAGCGGTAAGCTTCGAAGCACCTGAAAAAAATCCAACAAAAACGAGGCATGCCGCCTCCTCGACAAGCTCAGGAAGCGGTTGAGGACCCAGTGGGGGTGGCTTTTAGGAACTGTCCCGTCGTTTAGGAAAGTTCAGGGTTTAGGATTTCGAGTTTAGGGCTTAGTGGGCCTTCTCGTAGCTTCTGTTGCCCAGGCGCTGAGAAGGCATCCAAACTATACGAATATGAGTACGGTTGATTGATATCAGAAGTCCTCCCCCCATTGGATCCTCAGCCACCTAAACCCCGAAACCCCGAAACCCTCAACTTGGGGGCTATTCTGAAGGTTCATTGAAGGGGTGGAACATCCGTACTACAAAGGGGGCACCTACCTTGCGAGTGTTCCTTTTTTATTGTTTGCAGCAATTTTGGAGGCACTACACCCTATGCCCCAAGCCCTAAGCCCTCTGGCGATCTGGAGTTTTAAGGGTTTAGGGGGTTGAGGTTTTAGGGGGTTTTAGGGTTTTTTTGGTTTTGGGGGTCTTAGGGTTTAGGATCTATGCTTAAGGTTTAGGGTTTAGGGTTTAGGGTTTAGGGTTTAGGGTTTAGGGCATAAGAGGGTCGCTGGGCCAGTGGGCGGAGCTAAGAGGAGACCCAAAGCACATGCAGCGAGTCCCCCCCTCCCGGTGTTTCTTCTGCAGGGCAGCCTGAAACCTAAACTTTTAAGGGTTTAGGGTTTAGGGTTTAGGGTTTAGGGTTTAGGGTTTAGGGTTTAATTAGGGTTTAGGGTAACCCTTAACATATTGACAGTTGTTCCCCCTTCATGTAACAGTCCTGAATAGCGATTGTCATGGGGGGGTTACTGAAATCCCTATTCTGGACTGTTAGTTTAAGGGGGAGCAGCCCAACCTTAACATGTGCCCGCGAAGGATTCCTCCGAAGAAATGTCGTCATCTGGCTCGGAGTCTGAAGAGGACTGTCCGAAGAGCAGCTTTAACTTAGGGTTTGGGGTTTGGGTTTTGGATCTTGGATTTTTGGGCTTAGGGTTTGGGGCTTAAGGAACCGTTTCTACTTGTCCGGTAATTCGCTTCGGCTGCTAGACGGGTTTAGGGTTTAGGGATTAGGGTTTAGGGTTAAATGATAAGGGTGACATGACAAGGAATTTTTAGCCCCTAAAACCCCAAACTCCCAAGTGAAAGCCCGAACCCTCTGCACACAACCTAAACGCCTAAACCCTCCATAAACCGTAAACTCCATAACCCCAAAGCCTAGACCCTAAACTAAAACCTAAACCCTAAACCCTATAAAGCCCTAACCAGGAGGCTGCACCTGCGCCACCTTCAGAACCAGCCGCCGCTGCGCCGCGCAGCGCGTGGCTCGCCTCTTTGGGGTTTAGGGTTTAGGGTTTAGGGTTTTAGTGTTTAGGGTTTAGGGCTCAGAGTTCAGGGTTCAGGGCTTAGGGTTT